GAAATAGCGGCAGCAATCGATAATGCGCCGTATACCGTACATGACCAATGTGAAGCAAAGCTCGAGTATAGGAAGACTCGAGCCGTTTCCCAAGCCCGAGGAGAAACTTATTTTAGGGACTAATTTTTTTCTTCTGGGAAATGAATTTCAGCCGTAGCCGTAGCTGCAGGTACGATATGTACGTAACGTACACATATATATGCTCAACTCGGAAGAAAAAGAGATGTGTAGGTACTTGCTTCTGACATGCGAAGATTCAACGACTGAATTATTCATAGCATTATGGCACACACAGGCCATTCACTCGCGTCGCTGTATATATAGCTCGTGCTCGACTATATACATACGTGAGTCGTCTTATTTACGAATAACTTTCGTCTGTGTATAAGCGCGAGTATACGTGCACGTACACATGCGCACGACTATACGAATATATATAGGTTTGCGCGGCCGTGATTGAACTGCACTTCTCTTAGCTGTAGGTTCGACTCCAATTTTTTTCTGCATACACAGAGGGGGAAGCCAGTAGTTTTACAAGTCTATACTTATGCTCGACGACTCGAGTATCGATTCGATCATTTTTCTCCAGCAAAAAACTTTTGTCCACAGGGCCCTGTGGAGCCTTTATAATTTGTCTTGTTATCTGAACTCGACCGAAATTTACGATCGTGCTGCTATGGATAAACGAGCTTTTTTACGAAGAAATATTTAAAATCTCAATTCTCCTAGAGATCTGAAGAATAATCTAACGCTTTTGAAAAAAACGTCAAATCTCTCAGTGTCAGTTATGGCGGAAACGTTACGACTTGCAGTGTAATAAAGACCAGAGATATAAAAACTCATGCGCAGGAGGGCGGGGAGGACGAGGGGCAAAAGGGGAGAGAAAGAGGTAAGGGGCCACGGGGCAAGAGAATTAATAGATAGAAAGAGAGCGAGGAGAAAAGAAAACGTCGATGTGTGGGCGCGAATGTGTACGCGCGCACCAACACAGCAAAAGAGCGAGAAAAAGATGAAGTACGAGCGTAGCCGTGTGCTTGCCCGACTGCTAGAGGAATAAGGGGAAGTCTAAAGTATGTGCAGAAAAAGTAGGGGGAGGCTAACTTGGCGTTATAAAGTTAAGAAGACGAATAAAAGGAGGCTATAGCTTTCGGGTGCGGCGTAAGTGCATGTGCGTGTCAGTGAGAGAGTCCGCCGCGTCGTCGCGGTCAACACACGCAGATACACCGAGAAGAGAGACGCGCGAGGGAGGAAGGGGAGCTAGAGGGGAGGACAGGGGTCAGAAAGACGCCGCCACGTGGAGGGGGGCCACGAGCAGAGGAGCTTTTCTTGCGTGCGAACTACATAAAAGTTCACTACGATGACTTTCAGCGCAGCAGTTGCATGCGTCGGCCGCGATATGCGTGCTCTTGTGTTTCGTGCATAGTGTACGTGTTCGGATCGCACGACTAATTGTTTCGGGACCTCCGTTCGTCCGATGCACTTTTCAAATTAAAACAAGCCTTTTTAATTATTCTTTTGTAAGCAAGTATTCTTTAATCTTGGCAAAACTCTGAAATCTCGCAAAATATCAACGTTTCTGTAACTACATAAAACTTTGATGATTTTTATTTCTGATAAAATAGCCTCAATAATTAATAAATCGATTATACGAGAAAAACTGACGAAAAAGTTTCAGCAACATTTTTGTAGTCGAGAAATCGTGGTTGCTCAATTTCAATACAGAGATAAGTGATGAATATACGTTGAGTTGCTAAAATACATGTACAGATGAGAGAAAAAGGAGCGGCTGACGTAAGCGTAACAACAGTCGGCTTGAGAGGGGAAGTAGGATATAGTAGTAAAAGAGGAAGAAATGTATGTACCTCCTTTCGATCTAGGGGTTAGAAGAGTACAGAGTTTGCAAAGCTACTCGGAGAAGGGATGAAGGAAGCGGGGTGGGCTCCCGAGAAGGAGAGGGGAAGGGGGCAGATTTACCCTTTCTGCTCCAAGTGTGCAGAGTATATAAATATAGCTAGCGGTAGCAGGAGCGCAAGGAGGGTGAGAGAAAGAGAGAGAGAGAGAGAGAGGCCAAGGGAGGACACGCGCGGGTATGTAGGAAATTTCGTCGGACGCTGTTGCGCTTCTCGCGTTCCACCCCTCATGCCACGCCGCGAGACTCAAGCCAAGAATAGCCGAGTCAGGAGAAAGAAGAGGAGAATTTTCGGTCGCGCTTTCGTGTATACGATTGCCTGTTACTACCACTATTTCATCGATGCAAGCTCCAGGTGGAATATAAGTCTGTATAGCGCCGGGCAGATACGCGTGCTTACGTGTGAGGGTGCGTGTACGTGAGCTCGAGGATGCGAGGATGGGCGCGGATTGCGATCGATTGATTGTGCTGCTGCTGCCGCTGTTACTGTGCCGTTGCTTCTAGACGTCGCGTCGAGCACGCTGCTACGTAACTCGCGCCAAAGCTGGAGCGAACGAGAAGAGAGGAGTAAGAAGCGAGAGCAGAGAGAAAAGGGAGAGATTGAGACTACTTTTTTATTAGTTTTTCGCGTTCACCCTGCATACATAAGCGGTATTTCCAGCGAGGCAAACTGATTGGATTTTTGAAAGTTAATTGCGAGCTACATCGAGCCACGTGAATATTTATTGAATGCATATGCATCCTACATTCGATTGGGTTTTTATTTTTTTTCTTCTTACATCTATTGACAAATAAAAATGGACATTTTATTTCTGAATTGAATTTTCAGTATAGATCATTAAGAATAGTTTTTTGGTTTTAAATCGAAGCCTAAATGACCCTGTAAACATTTTTTTTGTAAGAATCGCAAAACATACACTTACGTGCAAGCTGAAAAAATTTAAGAAAATATGTGTGTCATTAAAAACAACAAGATTTCCTTGCCAACAAAGGGATTTTTCTAGCTATTCAATTTAATAAAAAATTTGCCATACCTTATTCACTACTTTACATTCCACACTATTTACTCAAGTTCATCATGAAAGAATTGATTTAGAGGCCAAGTTAATGAAAAATACGATGAAGTGAGCAAAAGAGTGAGTGATATAGTTGGAAGTAATAGAGAGAGAGAGAGAGAGAGAGAGAGAGAGAGAGAGAGAGAGAGAGAGTAAATGTGTATATCGTCAAGCCGGCAGGATTTGGGCAACAGGTCTCTCACAATCAGTAGAATGCAGCTTGCAAGTTCGGGTACGCTTGCGCGCGTATGTGTGCACCAATGAGAATATATAGTGGATTGGTTTATTGGAAGTTCGTATGCCAGAGTGTGTGTAAGAGAGAGAGCATTGCGAAAGCTTTTTTCGTTTTATATAAAGAATACACGAGCCCGCAGGATGCACGCCAATATATAGCGGGTAGAATTAATCCTTTGTGAAATGTGCTCTTTCACACTTTTACAAACGAATAAAAAAATTAGTTTTGTCTCGACGTTTTCGACGCGACACACCTGCAAATTATTTCATTACTGCAATGTTCAGAGGACAAACTGTTCTACGTACCTACGATAATTGCTTTAGTAAAGTATTTTATTTGTATTTTAATGGATTCATCACTCATACATTGAAAATGTTAATTTCTTAAAACTGCATCTACTAATAGAGTTGATTTAAACTGCACAGTCTTTGCACAAAAGTAAAGAATTTTGTGCTTTTATGAAAAGGATTAATTCGCATTGATTCCTGTTTCGTATTCAATGAGCTTTAACCTCGAAAAAAATACGACGAGCGAGCTTTTTTCAAGAGCTTTAACACTTGTGCTTGCATCAAAGGCTTTTAAGGAACTAAAAAACGATTGAGGTAATTTTGGCCTCTTCAAGTTATTATAAGAGAACAAAATGGTTTCTTTTAACACTTTGGCGCATTTACGACGAGAAAGAGAAAATTTTGATTCTTGCGCCGCGTGATTGTGTCAATAAAATATTACGAGAAAAATAAATAAAATTAAATTCGATGAAATTGAATTTCTTTCTTAGAAACGCATCTTGCACACAACCTAAAGTGTTTCATGATAATTTTTAAAATAATAATAAACTCGCTTTGACGTAGCGAACATGTATAGAAGAAGGAAGGGCGCGAGGAGCTTGTAGCGTATTCGAAACTTTTTGATGTAAATAATGCAAAGTTTAATTTTCAAAGAACAGCAGGTTTGTGTTATTCATTGGTAACTTTGCCCTTTTGTCTTTGTTCCTCTTTGCTCCTTCCCCCTTGTCCTCACTCTTTCTCCAACATGATACATAATAAGCATTGTACTTATTATAAAATAGTGTTATTACACGAGAAAAAGCTATTCCTTGCGCCTGTCACGTTGTGAGGTATGAATTTCGATAACGCTTCGTGTAGGACCAGGTGACGCAACGGATGAACAAAAACAAGTGCTCGTAAGGCTTCATGTCTTTTCGACTGTAAACATTTTGGAGCGTTATATACACGAATGCTGTAGGTGTGAGTGTACATGTAATAGAAAGAGAGAGAGAGAGAGAGGTCCCGGAGTGCGAGTAGTAGAAAATCAATAAAACATCGTGTGGCTAGCGGAAACTCGCCGTTGCACTGCCGCACCGCATGAAGTCACTACCACCACAGCAGCGGCGGCAGCGGCCACGGACGAAAAGAACCTAATGCAATAAATTGAATGACCCAGATTTCTATACTTTGCTCTCGTATCTGCCAGGTTAGAAGTCGCAGCAGCGTGGCTCGCCCTCGCTTCAATGCCTAGTCCTATATAATACCTACACACCACCACCTCCCTACTTATTCTCTTTTCTTCGATTTATTTTCGATATAAACCAAATTGCGCTGTACACCTATCACTCGCGTTCTATAATACCGCTTTAATTGAATCGTGACTTTAGCGCAGTTCATTAATAAATTATTTCAACTTTGACCGAGTTGCCTGTCGTTTGATATGTGCGCTCTCGTATGCTTTCTCGATATGATGAAAAAACCCGCGACTATGAGACTACGTACACCGTAAACGCTGAAGCAAACGCGTAACTCACCTACTACGAAGACCATATTCTTTGTCCATCGCAGCAGCTCCCGACGAATATGTTTACGTTCCTGTATGCAGCGGGCATAGGGACAATCCGCCATTTTTGAAATCACATCTTAAGATGATGATGTGTCCTGGCTGGCTTTGGGTGCAGTCAAGGACTCCCCCTTACGCAGCCTTATTTGTAGCGACAAGAGTACTTTCCTCTTGTTCCTTCGCCTGCACCTATAACATATGCGACATTGCCATTTTGCATCATTACCTCATTACCGTTGCGGGTCTAAGATTTACGTTATGATATGCTAAACTCTCACATCATTTTTCGATATGACGATGCGATAGCTGATGAATTTAAAATGATTAATTGGAAAACTTTTGAACTAATTGATAACTTTTGTCCATCCATTCAAATTCAAAGTGGATACAGTAGAAAATAATAAAAATTCAAAAATCTAAAACTAATGTAATCCCGTTTATTGGACTAAAATTTAGTTATTCTATGTGTAAAAGATTGCGAATATAATCATCCACTCGACCATAAAGGTCTGAAAATCTAAATTAGAATTTTGAATTAAACAATGGGAAGTAAAGGAAAGCCCAAGGGTTCGTAGTCAAAGTTACAGGTGTTACTTACCTCAAGGATCTCCGAGAGTTGCTCTGTGGTCCGTCAACAGCTCGGACTGTAAGCGACGTCTAAGGCAAACTGAACGTGTCTTTGGGACTCACTAGCTCGGATGTTTCGTGATTACTTTACACGGTGTCTTCTAGTGAAGTTTGTGCCAAAGATTTCGTCTCGCTTCGATGAACTTGTACATTTTTCACCGTTATTTCTGTAACAGAAAACATATAAAAGGTCAAATATAAACTTTTATTTTAAAATAAAATGATTTTTTTTCCAGGTGCAATTAATTTTTCACGGTGATTTGCCTTACTTTATGAAAATACTCGAGAGTCGAGACGGTTCAATAAGCCAATACAGATAGACGTTAGCAATAAAATAGAAGAGCCAAATGGCACGCGTGAATACGAAGAAGGACGTGGGCACGTACAGGCAAAAGATTGGAATTGCGTACACAGAGCTCAGAGGGAGAAGGAAAGCCGTGCACGACGACCTTGACGAGCAGTGGCGCGTGTATGCAGGCGAAAATGCGATTTTCGAGAGTGTGCACTACATGGACGCTGCCAGCAGTATATATAGGTGTACGACACGCAGAGAGGAGAAAACGCGAGAGGAGAGCGATTCAGCTAGTAGCGGCAGGCATCCCGTGTGCGAACTGCCGAGCGTATACAGCTATACATCGTACGTATATACTGCTGCGCGCACTGCAACAAGTTGACCGCACTGACGAAAGTACTCGCGTGCTGCTACTGCTGCTGCCGTACACGGTGGACGAGTGGTAAAAGCCCTCCCGTTTGCATGGATTTTCCAGCTAAAGCATCACATGACGAATCGAATTAAAGCGACGGCCTGCCGTTATTGCTGCTTTTTCGCCGGAAAAACAGACCTCTGTCGCCGGATCAAGCCGCGCGTACGCGATATAATGTAAACTCCTGCTCGTATCCCAGGCAAAATATTGACACGGTAAGTTTCGTTTCGCAGTCAGCGGCCTGGAAAATCTCTTCATCGAGTGTGTGATAATCGTTTGGAAGCTTGCAACCTGCCTCTATTACAATCTACTGCGATCGCTGCCGCCGAAATTCTCAAAAGTTATTCCAACAGAATCGAGTGATTCATAATTTGTTTTTTAATTTTACGCATTTGGAGAATAAATTGCATTTATATGAAAGGCAGGGTGAAGTTCATAATTACAGCTAGTCTGTGAAAATTTCTGTCGAAGAACTGCAGAGCAAGCGAGAAAGAATCGTGCCCCACAAGATGACACAGCTGCGACGCAACAGGGTTACGGCAAAATACTTTTCCGCTACTTTTCCGCAGCACAGTCCATAAAGAAGCTTCGGAAAAGGAGCCCAGCTTTGGCCCCACCCTTACCCGTATATAGCGGCGTAGCTGCTCTCGGTATAATACTCGGAATGAAACATTGCCTCCTTATGCATGCTTTAGGTACAATGTGTGCGTAACTAAGTATGCATGTGCGAATAGAAGTTGCACGCACACATACTCGTCAGACGTATACACAAATATACACGCATCTGAAAAAAGCTCTCGCAGCGTAGCAGGTAAGAAGGCGCGTGTAGGGGAGGCAGTAGTCGCACAGTCTGTCTCTTTCTCTTTCTGCGTTGGATACGCTATATAGAGAAAGAGGAGAAACAACGCGCGCACGACTACACGACGATGACGAACGAAGAGGAATAGAAGGGAGGGTGAGAGAGGATGGCTGTGTGTGTATATATGTGCTTGCCGTAGACACGTACAAATACATACACAACACACATACACTTACACACATACTCATTGAGCAAGGCGCGCGAGTGAGTAAGCGAGTCGGGGAGGAAAAAATCGTGGTGCGGGTAGCCGCCTAATATGCAACAGGAGGAAAAAGAATTGGCGATCAATAGTTAGTAGCTGGCGAGTTGAACGCGTCCTTTCATCCATCCGCGCAAGCTCGCGCCGCCGTAGCCGCCGCCGCCGCCACCACCGACACCGCCACTGCCTCCCTCGTCCCTTCGCCTTTGCTCGGCTCGCCAAGCTACGCATACGCGCCAAGGCAAGGCTGCCGCTTCTGTCTCGACCATAGTCGGCTCGAGGCTATCTTTTCGTTCCTCCGGACTGCCTTTTGGCCAAAGCCGTACACAGACCGCTCCGAAGCTTTTTTTCGCAACGCGCAGCAACTGTAAGCTCGACTTACACTAGCTGTGTGCGCACGCGGAGCCTCTTACACTCTCCTGATTCCCGGTTTTGGTTGAACGCGCGCGATGATTCAGCACTCGGCTGGCTCGCACAAAACTGTTGCTGCTGCTAATGCAGGCCAGATTCTCTCAAAGGAGCCTGATCTCGAGCTGCTGCTGCTGCAGCATGTCCTCTCGCTACTTATCGCAATTGGCTCTGTAGATTCCGAATCAGATTCTAATACAGCTTCTTGATGGATTCATAGCCTACTTTACCTAATCCTGACTCCCGCCTCCAATAATTTTTAACTATATACCCAAACTTCCTTTGACCTTTTTAGAATAACGTTCAAATACTGTTTCAGTCAAAAAATTACATTAAGGTGAATATTCATTTCCTTCGTTGTGCTCGTTTAAAATTGAATCGATCCGCTAATTAACGAACGCGTAGCACATCATATGAGCTTTGTGCGAGCGTACATGCAGATGTTTGTTCGTACTCGCGCTCGTATCTAGACAAGATATAATCGCCACAATTACTATATACGTATGATAAAGCCTTTAGAGAAATAGAAATATCTCCAGGCTCTGGAATGGCTTACTTCATTCGAACATTATACTCAGCGCTGCAGCAGGTTAGGTTGAGGGGGAACGGAGAACAGCTGGGTAATAAGCAACTCATCGGTTAACCAGACGTTAATTTTGAATTTGAGCTTCTACTCCCTTGATTCTCTTCCTCTCGACTCGCAAGCTCGCTTTTAGTAGTACTACTATTACTTCTGGTACTGCTGGCACTACTCCAATACTGCGCACAGTTCGAGCACTATGAAAATAAGTGCGTGAGTACATGTGTATACATAAACACGCGCGCGGCTACGTGTGTATACTCGTGCGCACCTACATGATATAAGTCGGCGTTACTTGAACGTGCTAACGCGAAAGAGAGAGAGAGAGAGAGAGAGAGAGAGAGAGAGAGAGAGAGAAGCGCAACGAGATAACGAGCGAATTCCAACTAACGCCATAGGTATTTAAGCGGGGCGAAAGACTGAGAGAGAAAGAGGGAGGGAGAGAGAGAGAGAGAGAGTCGAGTGAAACGAGAGTTGAAACTAATTTGATGTATGTTTGATGATTAATGAAAGCAGTCGACTCGCATCACACCCGTTTGCGTACATGTATACACTCATATGAGCGCCAGTAGTTTCTACAGCCACCGCCAAGCAGAATATAATATGTTTTGCCAGACTAGCAAATTGTTATACGAATCGAGTCTTATTTTATATCGTTTAAGCTCGGGCACTTTTTTGGTCTGACGTACGGCTTGTCCATTTCATTGATTTGACTTTCGCACTAATAAAAAAGCAAAACCAGTGCAAAATTGAACAAATGGCTTTAACGATCGACGACCAAAGCAACTGCGTGGAATGTTATTACACGTGAATTTTTTTTAACAAAAGACCACCGGTCTGCATACGGGCGAATACTTATAGTAGTTGATTAAATATTTACAAGAATGAGACAAATGACTACATGCGTTTTTTATACCGTTCGCTTTTTATCAGGCTTATCGTGTGTGGGAGATAGATGTGTATATAAAAATATGCCATGTAAAAGCTGCCTGGCACGCTATACCCAGTTCGTTTGGCTCGTTGCATTATAAAGGTACAAAAATACATACTGGCAGAAAGTAAGAGAGAGATGGTATGGATGTATGCAATAACCCTAATTTCCTACACATCGATTTCCTGCGACGAAAAATCAATACTGCTCTGCTTACACGCATACATAGAGCATCGTCGTCAGCAGAGATATTAGATTATTAGTTGTCCTACATTTTAGCTCCTCTAAACCAAACTTCCTCTGGAGCTTTGGAATTATGAACGTCTCTTTTGCAAAGTGACGCCACCTCTCGCTAATGAGCTGAAAAGTCTATTTGACCAAATAGGTCGGAACTATTTAATCTCGTCGATTTTTTGGAGCGAATTTATTCCTATAATATTATTTTTCACTGAATTGCCGAATAAGTAGGTTATAATGATTAATTTGAAATTTAGCGACAGGTCAAGCTTGTGTTGTAATTTTCATGAGCGCATAAGGGTGTAAACAATTTGAAATTCGATTTATTGTACACTTTGATCGATTACCAATAATTACATTTATGGTTATTGAATATTTAATAATGATTGGAAAAATTTAGACAATTGGATTTTTTTTCAGACGTTCATAAAAAATTGTATTGTATTTGAGAATAAAATAATGCAATAATTTGAAATGAGTTCACTATCTGCCACCAACAGTACGTTATTAAAAACATAAAAGTCGGCTTTAAACATTTTTAGGCGATAAAACAATGCTGGAACTGTGACGAAAATTTTAGACTGACTATAAAATGGTCTAGAATCCACTGACATTCGCTTTAGGTACCGGAAAGCGCCAATATCTAAGGCTGGGTTGTTTTCGAATGTTTATTTTTATCTACTTGACTAAAAAAAAAAAAAAAAGAAAAAAGAAAGAAAAAAAAATACATTGAGTCTAGGTAAATATTGTATGGTAGGAAGCTCTAGAGCGATATCTTCGCTATAGGTCTTCAGACTAAGAGTACGTGTACGTGCACGATAATAGAAGGAGGGCCAAAATCGATTCCGTCGTCGACGACGACTACCACTGCTACTGCTACGAGGCTGCCAATTTCCTTTTAGTACTATCTGCTGCACGCCCAGTGCCATGCGATATAATGCATCGACCAACTGTTGGTTAGGGCGTCTATTTGAAGCAATACATATACATACACGTACGCGCACACACAAATATTCACACACACACACACACACACATTTACATGTACATTTATATGTATAGTATATAGAGGTACCTATATGCTGCCGCTGCTTACATTGCAATTTCATTGTAGTATAACTTTGTATCACTAAGCAAGTGTGTAAGTGTGGGTGTCCTCCCGGGCAATCGTTTATCTGTGTGCGTGTGTGTCTGTGAATATGTGTAGTACATTGGGGCTTAATGTTTTATTAAGCATTTCGTGACGCGC